TTGGCTGCCAGTCGGGCCAGGGAGGGGGTGTTTATTCCTCAATCAGAGCTTGCTTCTGTAGGGGTCACAGCGGATTCATATGGTTAGGTTCGGTTTGTCGCCGATTTTCGCTGCACGCCCGGGTGCCTGGGGGTGCCCGGGGGGGCCGGGGGGCCCGGGGGCCCGGGGGCCCGGGCGTGCCCGGGTGTGCCCTATAGCCCTATAGCCCTAAGCACTATAGCCCAATAGCCCAGCAGCCCTACAATTCTATAACCCTATAGCTCTATAGACCTATAGCTCAATAGCCCTATAGCCCCCGAGCCCTATAGCCCTGATTGGGTCTTTTCTCCGGTATCATTATAATGAGAAAAAATGATAGGCCCCCTCCCCGAAGGCGAAGCAGGGGAGTTGGAAGAGGCAATTTGCTAGACCACTCACGCCCAGCGGGCTCGGGGATTAGAAAGCGTGCGGAGGAACCGCTTCTGACCTCCTCCACCCAGAGGGCGCGCGGTCGTTTTGCAGGGTATTTAAGGGTGGTTTGCAGGGTATTGCATGGTACTGCAGGGGTTTGGTTTGCAGGGTCGTTTTCCAAGGTATTGCAGGGTGTTGCAGGGTCAGCACGGAATCTTTGCACCCCTCTTTTGCAGAATATTGCAGGGGGTGCGGCGAGGTCCAGGGGAGAGGGTAGGGAGAGGGGTTTCTCAAAAGCTACCAGAGGAAACGCCGTAGACCACCTCCGCCCAGAGGACTGGTGGGATTTGTCATCGGTAATCGATGAACGCGCTGCTATTGTTGACGCTTCACATATCCCCACCAGCCCATCCAGCAACGATGCCCAGGAGAGTTGAGATGATACGAGAAGTGGGGGAGCATGCAGAAGAACAAAGAGCGGGGGACGCCGTCATATACCGCAGGAGGGGGAGGATGGAGGAGGAATCGTCGTTGTCGAAGGAGGAGGAGGAGGAGGAGGAGGAGGAGGAGGAGGAGGAGGAGGAGGCGGAGTAGGGCGAGGACGAGGATGACGAGAAGGAGGAAAAGGAGGGAGAGTTGGGTACCTCGGAGATCCTCTTGGGGCCTCGTATAGGGTCTCCGGGGGGGGCCTCTTGGAGGCATCTTCGGGCTGCCTGAGCGCCTCTTGGGGCCCTCCTGGGCCGTTCTTGGGAGCTTTAGGGGCGCTGTTGGGGCCATCTTGGAGGACATCGATCACAAAAAGGTGAGCTTCAATTTGCCTCCCCCCTTGGGAGCACCGACAATCGCCTCCTGGACCTCTCTTGGATCGCTCTTGGGGCGCTCCTGGGGCCGTCCTGGGGCTCTCTTGGGCCTCTCCTGGGGCTCTCCTGGGCCATTTTGGATGCACCTTGAGGCTTCGGATGGCCATCAAAAGCGAAAAGGCGAGAAAGCAAAAATCATTCATTTTCTTTTGGTGTTTGAAGGAGTTTGGCTTCTTGGGGGCCTCTTTGGAGGTCTCGGAAGCCTCTTGGAGCAGTCTTGGAACGTTTTGGGGGCTTCTTGAAATCAGATCGTCGTTGTCCTTCGGTCTGGCCAGCCCGCGCGCCGGCTCCGCTCGGGAAGAGGGACGAGGAGGAGGAGGAGGGAACGAGGAGGGAGACAGGGAGGTGAGGGCAGGATCAACGAGGGGGGAGGCAGGAGGGAGGGAGGGAGGAAGCCTGGCAAAGGGAACGGGGAGGGAGGAGGGGCGGGGGGGGGGCAAGAGGGAGAGAGGAGGAAGGGAGGCTCCTCCTCCTCTTCCTCTTTCTCCTCCTCCTCCTTTTCCTCCTCCTCCTCCTCCGATTTTCGTTTTCCGGTTTCCGTTTTCCGGTTTCCGCTTTCCGTTTTCCGTTTTCCGTTTTCCGTTTTCCGGTTTCCGTTTTACGGTTTCCGGTTTCCGTTTTCCGTTTTCCATTTTCCGCTTTGCGTTTTCCGGTTTCCGTTTTCCGGTTCCAGTTTCCGGTTTCTGTTTTCCGTTTTCCGTTTTCCGGTTCCGGTGCTCTCCCGTGGGCACCCGCGTCCTTCTACGCCATTTTCCGTTTTCCGTTTTCCGTTTTCCGATTCCGGTGGTCTGCCGTCGGCTCCCGGCTCCCTCTTCGCTGTTTTCCGGTTTCTGCTTTCCGTTTTCCGGTTTCCGGTTTCCGGTTCCGGTCTCCGTTTTCCGTTTCCCGTTTTCCCGTTCCGGTGCTCTCCCGTGGTCCCTCGCGTCTTTCTGCGCCGTTTTCCTTTTTCCGTTTTCCGTTTTCCGATTCCGGTGGTCTCCCGTCGGCCTCCGCTTCCTTCTTCGCTGTTTTCCGTTTTCCCCTTTCCGGTTTCCCGTTTCCGTTTTCCGGTTCCGGTTTCCGCTTTTCGTTTTCCGTTTTCTGGTTCCGGTGCTCTCCCGTCACCCCCCGCGTCTTTCTTCTCCGTTTTCCGTTTTCCCTTTTCCGTTTTCCGATTCTTGTCGTCTGCCGTCGTCCTCCGTTTTTTTCTTCGTTGTTTTCCGTTTTCCGGTTTCCGTTTTCCGGTTTCCGGTTTCCGGTTCCGGTTTCCGCTCCCCCTCCGGCCCAGCGGAACCATCTCCGGTGATGACCTCGCCGAGGCGGACAATTTTTCGCATCCCAATGACGCTCAGGAGCCGCCTCCTTTCCAATGGCGGTGCTCGCATTTCATGCGACACAGCAGCCCTGACAACCCTGTGACGCCCAGGAGCTCAGCCCTCGTCTAGGCGCAGTGCCGTGCCGAGCGCACTACATCTTTCGCACCCCTGTGACGCTCAGGAGCCGCCTTCTTTTTCTGCAGGCGGTGCTCGCAGCTCATGCGACACGAGAATTCGGCAACCATGTAACGCCCAAAAATGGTACCCTCGTCTGGGCACAATACCGTGCCGATCGCACTACTGTTCCGCAGCCGTGTGACGCTCAGGGGCCGCCTCCTTTCCACAGGTGCTGCTCGCAACTCATGCGGCACGCAACTCTGGCAACCCTTTGACGCCCAGGAGCGGTGCCTTCGTCTAGGCGCAATGCCGTGCCGATCGCACTATTTGATTTGCTTCGCAACCGCGTGACGCTCAGGAGCCGTCTCTTTTCTACAGGCGGTCCTTGCATTTCATGCGACACGCAACCCTGGCATCCCTGTGACGCCCAGGAGCTGTGCCCTCGTCTAGGCGCAGTGCCGTGCCGAGGCTGACATTTTTTTCGCAGCCCTGTGACGCTCAGGAGCCGCTTCCTTTTTCTACAGGCGGTGTTTGTAGCTCCTGCGCCCTGCTGTCGGCCCTTGCCCTGCAGTCGGCCTGCATTCGGCAGCTGGCTTGCGCCCTGCAATCGGCCTGTGCCCTGCAGTCGGTCTGCGCAATCAGCCGGCGCCCTGAGGTCGGCCTGTGCCCTGCAGTCGGCCAGTGCCCTGCTGTCGGTCTGCGCCCTGCAGTCGGCCTGCGCCCTACAATCGGCCTGTGCCTTGCCGTCGGCCCGTGCCCTGCAATCGGCCTGCGCCCTGTAGTCGGCCTTGTCTCGTACCCCGCAGTCGGCCCATACCCTGCAGTCGGCCTGCACCCTGCAGTCGGCCTGCGCCCTGCAGTCGGCCTGCGCCCGGCAGTCGGCCCGTGCCTTGCAGTCGGTCGGCGCCCTGCAGTGTGCTTGTCCTGTGCACTGCAGTCGGCCCGTGCCCTGCAATCCAATGAGTCCCCAAGAGGCCTCCACGAGGCCCTCAAGAAGACCCCCAGAGGTCCCCAAGAAGCCCCAAGAGGCCTCCAAAAAGCCCCCCAAAGGTCCCCAAGAGTCAAGAGGCGCCTCCTCGCGCGCTGCCAGGCCAGAGGTGCATGGTCTGACTTGGTATGGCTCGGAGGCGGAAGCGCTGAACCAGCCAGCGACGACCTCCGAATACCTCGAACCTCAAACCTCTTCGCTACTCGCTACGCAGTGGCGGCTCTCAAGCAGCAAGAATGACCCCCAACGGCAGCACAGGGTGGAGGCCATGTCATGCAAACGTGCATTCGCAAACATACTCATTTTTGCCATGCATTACTGATAAACTATTCACCTGTATGCACATCTCCCTTTCTCTCTCTCTCTATATATATACGTGTGTGCATGTGTGTATGCGTGTGGGTTGTTGTTGTGTGTGCACATGTGTGTATGTATGTGTGAATGCATGCACATATGTATGTATACATGCGTACATGCATGTATGTATGTATGTATGTATATATGTGTGATTGTTTGTATGTCTATATGTGTATGCGTGCATGCACGCATACATACATGTATGCGTGCATGCATATATGTGTATGTGTGTATGTGTGTATGTATGCATGTATGTATGCATGTATGTATGTATGAATTTATGTATGTATGTATGTATGTATGTATGTATGCATATATGTATATATGTGTGTATGTGTGTATGTGTGTATGTATGTATGTATGTATGTATGTATGTATGTATGTATGTATGTATGTATGTATGTATGTATGTGTGAATATGTATGTACGCATGTATGTATTTATGCATGTGTGTATGCATGTATGTTTTACGTATGTATACGTGTATGCATGCCTGTTTGTATAAAGAAGTCGCATATGCGCTCCCAACCTCGAATTTCATTTCTGGCCAACGGGCACTTTAGACGTACGCGCATTGCTGTTGATTGTACCGTGCAAGGTGACATCGAACCGAACCTTCACTAACTATTGCAATATCGTGTTCCTCCCCGATGGAATTCAGAGGGGGATTCTACGTCCACGGGCGCAGCCTGTGCGCGGATTCACGCAGGGTTTGGCGTAGATATGAAGTGTACCACCCCGTGCCAACACAAGTACGTCTAGTATTGTCGCTTGTGCATCTTCGCATGGGATCACCACATACAAACCACATGTTGAAACGTGGCCGCATCCCTTCCGCAATCATGGGGCTGTACATGCGAACGGCTGCAATCATTGCGCTGTGCGGGGCCAACACGAACTAGCATTGACGTCACGCCATCTCGCCGTGCAATGCATGTGGCAATCAAGCGCTCGCGAAAGAAGTTTCGCGCGGATCGGATCGGAAAAACCCACCTCTGCTGCGGCAAGTGGCGCCCGCTTCTGGCACGGAGTACATCATCCGCAATGAATTGTACCTGGTGCCGACGCTTCCTTGGGAGAGAATGATGAGAAGGTCGCGCGCCACCAAAAATACTACTTTACCCTTCCATCCATCCCCAATCCTCCCCGCCCACTGCGCGCCGACGTTTTCCGACCATCATCACGTCCTTCACTGTACCCTCCCAAACCGTTGCAATTCGCAGTGCGGAAGCATCCGTCATTTGGATTTCACGGCCTGCCCAATCTACAAGAAAGAACATCATGAACGTGACGGGCGGTGGCAACGGGCGAAAGACTCCGAATCCACGCGGGCTGCGGTGGTCTTACTTAGGAGTAGGCGGATTACGACTTTTCGTCTCTAATCAACGACGAACCATACAGTTGAAGCATACCGTGCCTGGACCACGTTGATGATTGAAGCATGTTGCCAACTGCTGCTCCATCAACGCAGATCCCTGTTTAAGCGGTGGGGTCCGCCGAGGGAGAGAGGAAGGAGAGGAAGAAGAATGAGGAGGAGGAGGAGGATGGGGAGAAGGAGGAGGAGGAGGAGGAGGAAGGAGAGGAAGAAGGAGGAGGGTGTCCGGTCACCGCGCACGAGATCGAGAGCCGCAAGCCCTCGCGGACTTGCTTTGTGGTGGCTGCGGGCGCTCCCAGCTGCTGCGCCTGGGCGGCCTCGAAGTGCTACTCGACAGGGGCAGGCGGCGTCTCTGGGAGCAGCTCGGCGCTAGCCTTCCGAGGCCCCGAATTTCTGAAGGACTCCCGAGGGTCTATGCAACTATCCGTAGGCTGAGGATTGCGGTCCCAAAGGTCCCTCGGCATGAAGTCCTCCGCTTTGGGGGCTGCTGCGGAGGACCCTGTAGACCATCTGCTGGAAATCCACGTGGCTGAAAATCAAAAGACTGGCCTGAACAGGTAGCTCCCACACAGGCAAGCTGTGGTAGATGGCGAGTCCCAGGGCAGCTTTCCAAGACGGGTCCTCCGAGAGGCACAGACTGAGGACTCTGAATCTAATATGGTAACGGGGCCACGGAGCTGAAGTAGATAATCTGGCCGCGAGTGAATTCTATGTCCGTAAGACTACCACTTCCTATTCGGATTGTTGGCCTGGTGTGGGCCTGTCTTGTACAACTTGCGCATACAAGCGCCAGCCTGCTGAAAGGACTGGAGGCGGCGCCGCCTCAACCGTAGTTTCTTGAAGCGTTGGCGTAGGACGGCACGTCCTTCGACACTCCGAACGCAGTCACCTGAGGTGAACTCGATGGCAGGGTTGGCCTCGGTCACTGCGGGTTCCTTTGACTGGGGTCCTGCGTACTTGCCGAGCGCTCGGACTAAGTGGTCCCTGACCTTCGACGATGATGCTAGAAAAACGGACTTGTGGATCACGATCTCACTATCCAGGTCTAGCTCGGGTACCCTTCACACTGGCTGGCTGGTGACTAGGGTCCTTGGGTTCGCTCCGAGCCTGGAGAAATACAGAAGGTGTGAACGTGTTCAACGCATTTGGTGCTACCAGCCAACTCTCCCTAGGCAATTTGCCATCTCGGACCCGTGTTCGCTGGCCCCAATACCCGAAAACAGGCCCTGGAGGCCGCCGACGCGTAAGAAGAAACGCCCCGACTGAACAAAAACTCAATCCGCCCGAGGCCTGGGCCGCCGCTGTCGCCGAAGACGACGGCGACCGCCACGACGACGAGAACACTGACGACGACGAAGAGAGCAAGGACGACGATAAAGAACGACGACGAGGACAACAACCACAACTGGAACGACGAGGACGAGGAGGACGACGACGAGGACAACAGCTACAACTGAAACGACGAGGACGAGGAGAACGAGGACGAGGATGACGATGACGAGGACGACGATCACGACGGCGACGAGAATCTCCGCCCGCGGGCGCTGTGGGCGAGGGCACGGGTGCGACGGATCGTCATCTGGATCGTCGGAGTTCTCGTCGCCCTCCTCGCCGTCGTCCTGGCGGCCCGGCGGCCGGGCCTTCCCCCCGCCCCTCGTCTGGCCACCGCTCGTGGGGCGACGAGATCGTGTACGTGTGCGCTGCCACTGGCCGGGCCCAGGATGGGCCTGGCCAGGGGCCGCGGACAGTCGCTCGTCGCCCCTGCCGCCAAGGCGGCCCCACGGCGCCAGCACGACCGAACAGCGGCCGAGACCGGCAGCGAAACCGAGAGCGACCATAACCGACAGGCCGCGGGCATCCTGGAAGGGCGCAGCGACGCAACGACGACGCAACAACCGACCGAAGCGAACCGACCGACCGCAGCCGACCGCGCCACAGCCGAGCAGACCGAATCGCGGAGATACCCACGGCCCCACCGAGGACCGAAGATTGAGGACAGAGATTTGTGGACGTTTGATTTCTCGCCACCGCCCTCGCTGCCGTCCTGGACGGGCGGACTGGCCCCCCCCCCTCCTCGTGCGGTCTCCCTCATCTCTCCAAGCGCCCTTACGTCGTCAAACATTGCGACGGACAATTTTCTGCCATCGTTTTTGGCCTTCGGAGGTCTGGAAGGGCCACGCTGTGAGGGGTCTGGACTGGAGAGGGGGTGATCTTACTGGGATCCTGTAGGGCCGCTTCCTCCTCCTCCTCCCCCTCCCACTCCTCCTCCTCCCCCTCCCCTCCTCCTCCTCCTCCTCCTCCTCCCTCCTCCTCCTCCTCCTCCTCCTCCTCCTCCCTCCTCCTCCTCCTCCTCCCTCCTCCCCTCCCCCTCCTCCTCCTCCTCCTCTCCTCCTCCTCCTCTCCTCCTCCACCTCCCCCTCCACCTTCCCCTCCTCCTCCTCCTTCTCCTCCTCCACCTCCTCCTCCTCCTCCTCTACCTCCTCCTCGTGGCGGGGTCGAAATCTGCAAGGGCCACGCTGTGAAACAATGACGACGGCGGAAATCTGTGGCTGACCCGCGCCCCTCCCCTGACCTTGCAGAGCGCAAGAGGAACAATCCCTACAGACAAATGCTACGTGTTCGACCATTCACCCCTTGTTATCCATTGCTCCTGGGCCGTCTTCGGCGGTCTTCGACGGTCTTCGGGCCTCTTCTTACGTTCTTCGGCGGTTTGTTCTGATCATGGGGGCACGGTGGCGCCCCAGACGGCCTTAACCCCTAAGGCGTCTGCCGCCTTAGGGGTTAAGGCTTGTCTGGGGCGTCGCCGTGCCCCCATGATCATTGACTCTAAGTATATCACCTTACTTGCCTGTCCAGGCCACTCCGTGCTTTGGTGCACGGCCTGCCTGTTCCTCTGTTTTAGCTCGCCTGCACGCGGAGCCTGTCGGCTGTGAATGTGCTGTTACCTTTCCTCCTCCTTCCCACTTGCTGCTGATACGTCTTAGGGGTTAATTCGTATCCTAAGCACGCTGTCGCTCCGTTTGATCGTCGTTGTGTTGTACCTTGTTATATGACTGGTCATTTGGGCCATAGGGATGCACACACAACGCCGCGGACTTGTTTGCCACTTCCCCCTTTTCCTCCCTTGTCGCGGATACGTTTTACGGGAAATTCGTATCGTTCTAGGCTCCTGTCCTGTGCCCCGCGCTGACCGTAGGGACGTGTGCATCAGCTGGGCTATCGTCGCGCCTTCTCCTTTCTCTTCAAAAAAAACGTCCTTCGGCGGTTTCTGGTGGTCTTTGGTGGTTTCCAGCGGTATTCGGCGTGAAAGCTGGATGGTTGCGTTCAATAAGGGGTCCATAATCGAACACCTAGCACATTGATTCATCAGGGCTACAGAAAACCTCGACTGGGAATCGGGGTCTAATGCACGCCAAGGCTGTGCGGCCTCCCTCGACTCCCGAGCACCGAGGAGCCAAGGCTGCTTGGATGTTTTCGGCTCCTTTTCTTCCCTCCTGGGGGCCTCCAGGGACCCCGTGGAGGGCTTCGCAGATCTCTGGTGAAGAGCCTGGGCACACCAATGGAGTGAAACCCCGAGCGACGGTCAACTTCCCGACGGCAAGTTGTCTACCACAAGAGCGCTCTCACTGGAGTTCATCGGCAGGTCGTCCTGCACCAGACGGTGTGCAAGCGAGAGCATGCGCTAGTTCAGAGACAGGCGTGCTGCCGCCAGAATGCCCCTGGGCTTACGGGGCAGAGTTGACGCATCGAACGCGTGTTGCATGTGAGCGTCCAGGAGTGGGAGGGCGGAGAGGGGGGCGATTGGGGGAGGGCGAGAGGGGTACGGACGACATGGGTCACTTCCCAACCACCCCTCCCCCGCCCCCGCCGCATCCTCCCGCTCTTCCTCGTGCTCCTCCTCCTGCTCCTCCTCCTTCTCCGCTCCTCCTCCTCCTCCTCCTCCTCCTCATTCTGGAACTTACATGCCGCCGCTCCCCCTTTTCCCTGGGCCCTCTCCCTCCTCCACCTCGTCCACTTCCTCAAGCGATCCACCCAGACGGAAGTCAAACACCGCCGTCGTTGATTCGAAGGGAAACCCCTTCCCTTTGATCCCTTCCCTGCGGAGGCCCGGGGGAGGGTCCTGGGGATCGTGACCTCCCCCCTGGGCGTCCCCCCCCGTGGACAAGTGAGACAAGGGGGTGGTCCCCTTGTGAACAAGGGGAACTCATGACCCCTCCCCGCGCCTCCCCTCTTTGGACAAGGGGACCACCACCACCACCCCCTCCTCGAGGACCCTTCCCCCCGGAGGCACCCTTATCACTCTTATCTGCTTTTGCGGAGTGCTGCCTATAGAGGCCTCCTAGATGGGGTCCGAGTAGATGGGGTCGGAAGATGGCGCCGCATCGACGATACATCGACGATGCATCGGCGATGCATCGGCGATGCACCAGCGATGCACCAGCGATGCATCGTGTACGTCAGCGATGAATCGGCGACGTCGACGTGAAGCAAGCCGGGCTCCACATCGAGCCGCATCGGCGATGCACCGGCGATGCGGCGCGCTCCTTCGACCCCATCTGCTCCGACCCCATCTGGGAGGCCTAGAGCCTATTTTCCCACATGCCTCCCAGAGGCCTTAGATCCGCTCCCAGGCGGCTCCAAGTGACCACGGAGCTTCCCAAAAAGTTCCCCAAGACGCCCCCCAACAGAGAGGCTCCCGAGTGAGCTCCAAGAAGGGCTGCAGAGCGTCAACGTCGTGGTCATCGCCGCCGCCGCAGCCGTCATCGTCGTCGTCGTCGTCGTCGTCGTCATCGTCGTCCGTCAGCGTCGGTGGCACCACTGGTCGTAAGGCTTGTCCAAGACTTCTTGGCGCTCTGGGGACCGCCGAGACTTCCTGGAGGAGGACCCGCAGAGGCTCGGGACGGCCGGGCACTCGCTGCGAATATGCACGCAGAAGTGCCCCTGGGGAAGCGTGGCCTCTGGCTGGTCTGAGCCAGGTCGAATCGCGACATCGGATCGGATTGGAAACGAATCGAATCGCAAACGAATTGCCCCGAAGCGAATCGAAATCGAATCGCCGCGGCCGGCCCCTGCTGGCCCTGGGCGAAGCCGGTAAACCGAAGCGAACCGAATCGAAACGCAATCGCCTCCCCAGCCGCCGAATCGAACCGCATCGAATCGGATCGTAGGCGGCTCTGCCAGTCTGGTGCGCGGCTTGCCCATTCCGCAAGTCCGACCCCCACCTGCCCGTCGGATGTTCGGAGGCAACGCCTGGGAGGCGCTCTTCGTGGAAACCATTACGGGCTATGAAGCCAGATCAAGCTGGCCACTCAGCCTGATTAGACCAGATTTAGTCGTGGACAAAGCCGAATTAGGCGGGATTGCGCCTGATTGAGCTGAAAACGCCAGATCAGGCCGGTTTTTGATCACGGGTGTACCAACGCGGATGCTGAATGTAAACTCCTACGAATTGTATCCTGACGGGTGGACTGCGGACACAAAGGTGGCATGCGGGAGCTCGAAATTAGAAACAGAGGCACAAAAAGGGGAACCGCAACGCAATTGGAACACGGAGGATAAATCTTCGACGAAGAAGGGGCGGGGGCCGACGCGGCCCGCGAGAACGAGCAGATGACGAGAAAGCAAGACTCTGAATAACTGCACTCCTGTGATCTGAAAACTTCGTGCACCAAGACTTCCGCTCTCAGATTTGATCAGGTCGCACATCAACGAAGACCACCCAACGCGAATCGGCGAACATGTCCGTCTCCGGGAGCATTGAACCCAAACCTGTTGTCTTATTCTTACTTCTGCCACCTTCCTCCGACCTTCCGCCACGGGACCCGCACCGTTTTACTTCCGCGGCCTTCGGCTGGCTTCCGCCAACCTACTTGCGCCGTTTTACCTCCGCCAGCTTTCGCTGGCCTTCCGCCAGCTTCCGCCGAGGGTGAGACGCGGATCTTTCTGAAACACCCTTCATGGGTCATCGCGCCGATCACGTTGGATTCCACGACGCCCTGACTACACCAAACCGCTTTAGTCAAGGTGACTGAACCTGGATGGGCTGGTGGAGGCATGCGGTGAGTTTACTCACACATGTGTGTATATATATGTATGTGTATATATATATATATGTAGATGTACCACATATCTACATTTGCGTGCATGTAGGTACACATGCAATTATATACATGTGTGTGTGTGTGTGTGTGTGCGCAGTTGGTTCTGTTGCGGCGCACACGGCCCGATGACCCTTGCGGCGTGCGGCAGACCAGGCGCGGAAGCGACACGAGGGAGGGGGAGGGCGACCACGACGAGAAAGGGAGGACACGAGGCGCGTGGCCAGAACAGCGGGGACCCAACGCGATGGGTACCCCGACGCGCAGCCCTCAGTGTGCAGCGGCGGAAGCTGAGAAGCAAGATCGGCCGATTAAATACTTAGATGCGTCATTTGTCTGCTCAGTTGCTTCTTCCTCAACTGACGGCCCCACAACATATCCAAATGCGAAGTTTGCTGGCTCGTTTCCTCGAGAAGCCTTCGAGAAATACGCGCACGCACACCTGGATGAACACCTACACACATATCGCATGGCGATCCTCGATCCTCCAGGCTGTCTCCGTGGGAACTGCCCCCATTACTGCAATGACCCATGGATTAACTAGACTAAGAATGGGCTGCGACAAACAAAGATGGCCACCAACCGCATCTCTGGGGGGCAGAGGCAGGTGGCGCAAGCGAGACACCAAACTACACACAGGCCGCTTACGCCACCGCTGGTCCGAATAGCCATCACACTGCAAATCCGCCGACCCCTTGGGGTCACGGCGTGTGATATGCTTCCCCCTACCCAAACCCCTCCCCCGGGGGCCTGGTCGGGCTGGTTTGGAGGAGGGGGGGGGAGCAAATCCATCATCCGCACACTTGGAGCATCAGGAGGCCCCAAAACGGGCCAAAAAGCTCCCAAAGGTTCCCGGAACGGTCCAAGGAAGCTACGAATCGACGAGAAATCGCTCCAAAACGCTGAAGATTGCCTCCACACGGCTCCATAAGTCTCCAAGACATCCGAAACAATATTACGAGGCGCCCCAAAGAGGCCCTCCAGAAGCAAAGATCGTCACATTCCCTAGGAAAAACGTGCATTTTCACCACATTCGCCCATTCGGCTTCCACGCGGCGCAAAACGGCCCAAAAAGCATCCAAGATCGACCCTCGCCAGCCCAAGAGGCTCCCAAGAAGGCTCCAAGACGGCTTCCGGGCGATCCACGAAGGCCCCAGAAACCATAGCAACTGCTTAGGAAAGCCGCAAGACGGTCCCAAGAAGGCTCCAAAACGGGGCAAGAGGGCCCCCAAAGGCTGTCCGGACGGCCCACGCGGGGGACGATCCGGTCCAAACCACCCAAGATCGCCGCCAGACGGCCCCATGGGTGTTCAAGACGCTTGAAAAAGTGACCACGAGGCGCTCCAAGAAGGGCTCCACAAGCAAAAACCGTCCCATTCCCAAGGTAAAACGTACATTTTCAACACGTTCGCTTCTTGGGCTTTCACGAGGCCCGCAACGGCCCAATAAACCTCCAAGATCGACCCCTGTCACCCGAAGAGGCTCCCAAGAAGGCTCCACGTCACGACGGCCTCCGGGCGACAGGAAAGCTGCAAGACGGTCCCAAGAGGGCCCCCAAACGGGCCAAGAGGGCTCCCAAACTGCCCACGATTGCCTCCAGACAGCCCCATGGGCGTTCAAGGCGCTTGCACACGCGACCACGAGGCGCTCCAAGCAGGCCTCCATAAGCAAAAACCGTCACATTCCCTGGGGGTAACATACATTTTCAGCATATTCGCTTCTTGGGTTTCCACGAGGCCCACAACGGCCCAGTAAACTTCCAACATCGACCTCTGGCACCCCGAGAGACTCTCCAAAAAGGCTCCACGACGGCCTCCGGGCGCCCCACGAAGGCCCCAGAAACCATAGCAACAGCACGGGGGAACGGCAGGACGGTCCTAAGAGGGCTCCAGAACGTGTCTAGAGGGGCCTCGCCGGCTGTCCGGACAGGCCACGCGGGGCACGATTGCTGCCGCCCCAAAAGGGTCGGCGGTGTGGCGTAAACCAATGAACCCACGTCTGGACTGCAGCGAAGCGTCTCGGCAGTCTGGCAGGACGGGTGTGTGACGCCAGGGTCCAGCCACGATGCGTAAAGGACAATTGCAAACATCGCATTCTTATACATTGCAAAGCACCCCCCTTAATCCCCCCCGAGGCCGCCGCCGGGGTGCCGACCCATTGCCACGTCGAATGCAAAAACTATCCAAACCTGGAGGACATGTCTGATTTCGGCACCTTGGGCCTCCTGAGGGGCCAAAACGGTGTGAAGACGGCTCACAATGCTTTCAACACGGCTCAAAACGGCCCCCAGGCGGCCCAAAATGGCTTCAGGAGGGCCTTAGAAACCCCCTATGATGGCCCAAGGGGGCTCCCAAAGGACGCTCAAAAGCGCATACGGAGGCCGAATATATTTATTTTTGCAATAGTTTTCGTTGATTCTTCGCGCTTGCGCCTTTTGCACTCTCGGGGGGCCATGGCGGCCCAAACTGCTTCCAAGGGGGCCCCGAAACGGCCCACTACGCTTCCAAGAGGGCCTCTATACGGCCCACGAAGGCCCCAAGATTGCCGCAAAAAGCCCCCAAGACGGCCCCAACGGCCCCCCGAGAACCCCCCAAGACGGCCTCCGCAGAGGCCAGACGGCGAAAGACCGCCCCGAGATAGCCCAAAGGCGCTCAAGAAGCTCCAAGAGGCCCCAAAGAAGCCCCAAAGAGGGCCCCATAGGCGCCCAAGACACCCCAGTAGGTCCGACAAAGACTTGACAGCGCGCGCTCAAGAGAATCTGAAACTGCTGCTTTCGTAGAAATGCGCGGGAACGCTGCCAAATTCGCCGCTCTTTTAAGAGCGCCAGTCTATAACAGTTCTGTCACGCCACCAACATGCAACGCATCCAATGTATCCACTGATTGCATAATTGCTACATAGCGTATTGTGTTACATTCGTATGTTTCCCCCCTTTCACCCCGCCCCGAGGCCACCCCACATCCACCGACCCAAGAATGGCGGACCTTTTCTGGACCCATACAGGTAAAACAAAACACTGCAAATCAATGATTTAAGCCTCCTGGGCCTGTTGCGGGTCTACGAGGCCGTGAAGACGGCTCAGTATGGCTTCAATGCAACCGAAGACGGCCCCAAAACGGCCCAAAATGGTCCCAAGAGGATAGATAAAAAACACCCAAGGCGGCCCAAGACGGCCTTCAGAGGACCTCCGCGAGCGCCTCCGGAAGCCAAAGCCATCGATATTCCGATTTTGAAAAGTCTTACTTAGCGTTCTCGCCTTTGTCGACTCTCAGAAGCCCATGACGGCCCAAACAGCCTCCAAAATGACCTAAGACGGCCCAAGAAACCCTGAAGGCCTCCACGACGGCCCAAGCGACCCCTAAGACGGCCCAACTCAAGAGGACCCCAAGAAAACCCCAGAACGGCAGCGAGGGGCCAGGACGGCCTCCGAATGGACCACACGCAGCACGAGCGCCCCAAGACGGCCCAAGGCGCCCCCAAGAGGCTCCAAGAAACCCCCGCCCAAGACACCTCCAAGAGGCCACAAAGAAGCCCCCAAGAGGCCCCGCAACGACTGGACTGTACGTTGTCTGGACGTGCATCCCGCGAAACGAGAACGCTCGCGGGATGCACGACCAGACTACGTACTGAGCGGCAGCGTTTTCTGCGGAAGCGATAACGCAGCGCACTCAATGTATCCAATAATTGCCAAATCGCCACATATCGTATTGATTTGCAATCTTATGTCTCCCCCCTAGCCCCCCCCCCCACTGGAGTCGCGCCACAGCGCCGTACCAAAGGTGGAGGCAGTCCTTGTAGGGCCTCAAACCTGCAAAATCCTATGGGAAATCAACAAATTCGGCCTGCAGGGCTTCTTGGGATTCTAAGAAGGCTTCAAGATGGCCCAGGATGGCCCCAAGACGGTTCAAGATGGTCCCAAGAGGGCCCGTGAGGCCCCCAGGACGACTCAAGGGGGCCCCAAGAGGACTCGAATGAGCGCCTCCAGAAGCTAAAATCATGCATTTCACATAGATTTTTGAACGATGTTCGCATTGTCGCTTCTTTTGGCTCTCAGAAGACCATGACGGCCCAGGCAGCCTCCAAGAAGACCCCACGACGGCCCAAAAAGATCACCAGGGGGCCCCAAGACGGTTCAAGAGGGCCCCGAGACGGCCAAAAGAGGCCCCCAAGACTGTCCAAGGGGCCCCCAAGACGGCCCAAGAGGACTCCAAGAGAGCCCTGAGGCGACCGCGAGAAGCCTCCAAGATGGCCTCCGAAAGGGGCCAGACGGCGCCAGAGCGCCCCAAGCTGGCGCAAGACGTCAACAAGAAGCCCCAAGCGGCCCCAAATCGGCCCAAAAGACGCTCCAAGAAACCCCCACGAGCCTTTCAAGAGGCCCCCAAGAGCCCCCCATGAGGCCGCCCAGGAGCCCTGGGGATGGCAGGACGGAGCGGCACGCACGCGCGGCAGCCGAGCAGGTCACGCCAACCAACGCCCACACCTTCCACATTTGAACACTCGCATAGCGGCGATTACCAGTCTGGATCGGCTTCGCGGCGCCAACTCTGCCCGCCAGCAAGCGGGGCAGAGCAACTCTGCTTTGTCACGCTGGGAGCTGCGCGCCGCTTCTCGCATAGACACTGCCGAGCACCGCGCGCGTCTTAAACGCATGCCTCCGAATGGGCCACGCATCGCAAAAGCGCCCCAAGACGGCCCAAGACGCCCCCAAGTGGCTTCAAAGAAGCCCAGTGCAGAAGAGGCCCCAAGAAGCCTCCAAGACACCTCCAAGAGGCCACAAAGAAGCTCCTAAGAGGCACCGCAACAACTGGACTGCACGTGCTCCGGACGTGCACCCCGCGAAGCGAGAGGAATCATCGATCAGCCACACAAGCGACAACCATCATGCATGACAGCAAGGAAGGGCTGAATCAAGAACGCGGACGTCATGATAACTTCACTACCCAATCACTCCGACCCCTTCCCAAGTCGGGATTTCCAGCCGCAAATGGACTACTTGGAACGACTTGGCTTCATTCGACGCCCGGCTTATCCGAGATAACTCTGGTCCCGGGGCAACTCCGGCTTGGGCCCCCGAGGCACGAACCAGGAGCTACCCCTGACACCCCCCTCCAGCCCCGATGATTCGGGAGTGGTCGGACGAGCGACTTCTTCGAGGCAACTCGGGCGTCTTGGGCAGCTCCAGGGTCGGCCCCCGAGGCACGAAGCAGGAGCTACCCGACCACCCCCGGCCCCGACGATGCGGGGCTCTGATCTCGACAGGGGGAAGGAGAGGAGGAGGAGGAGGAGGAGGAGGAGGAGGAGGAGGAGGAGGAGGAGGCGGAGGAAGAGGTGGAGGTGGGACAAGGAGGAGGGGGGGACGAGCATCACCCGATCGGTGAGCGCCTGCCTCATGGCGGCCGCGGCCGCCCGCCCGCACAGCACCGCTCCTGGAGGCTACTGGCCTCCGTGGACGCGCAGCTCGCGCTGCTGGGCGCCTGCCAGCCGAGCGGCGGGGCGCCGCCCTGGGCGGGCTCCCGCGGCATCCTGCGGGGAGGGGGGAGGGAGGTGAAGATCGGGGGAGAGGAGGGGAGCCTCCTGCTCCTCCTCCCCCCCTCCTCTCCTGCTCCTCCTCCTCCTCCTTCCCCCTCCCTCCTCTTCCTCCTCCTCCTCCTCCGTTTCCCTCCTCCGTTTCCCTCCTCCTCCCTCCCACCGCCTCCGCTCATCCTCTCCTCCCTCCTCCTCCTCCTCCTCTTCCTCCTTCTTCGTCCTGCTCCTCCTCGTCCTAGCGGGGGAGAGGAGAATTGAAAGCCACCCGGCAATTTTCAAATCCCAGGCTGCGCGGTGACCACAAGCAGAAAGCTCTACTTCCAGACATGGACGTCGATGCAACTTGCAACAACTGTTCCTTACGCGCTGCCTCCTCCTTCTCCTCCACATTTGCATGATACTTTCGCCGTAGTATCATGGAAGAGGGCGGGTCGTCATTCGTCTTAAACGTTTGCAGCAATTTCAATGGTTCGTATGTTTGAAGTCCCAAGGATTGTGTTCTGGTTAGGTTTAGGGTCGTCGGGACGCACTAATCGCGCTAGTTCATCGTAGTTCAACCCCAATAGCGGCGTTCTGGCACGATTTCGGACTGCGGACTGTCAGGACGCAAGCGTTACGTTGATCCGCGGTATTGAAATCCCAAGCATAATTTGTTGGCACGGTAAGAGGATTATCATACGGTTGCCTTCTGATGGGCCACTTCCCGCAGTGAACATATGTGTTGCACAGACGTATGAAGAAGGAACTTGCATGGAGCTTTGATTGCAACATCGTTGATGAGTCTTGGGTTTACATTGGTCCTTCTCCTTCTCGTCCCCCTTCTCCTTCGAGGCTTCTTTGTCTCCTATGCCCCACGGGGCCACACATCTGGGCGTCGCGACAAAGCACCCCGTCACAAGACCCAATTACTAGAACCACGCGCGCGCTTCGCGCGCGCTTAGGTTCTAGTCGACTCCGAAGAGGTTGTCAGTGGGCATTGTGTGCATCCCAGGATGCAACTGCGCCACGGCTTCCTTTCCCGCTTGGTTGATGGCCTCCGGGGGGTTCCTCTTGGCCTCTAGGGTCCCTCTCCCAAATCCGTCTCCTGGGTTGCCTCCTCCCCGTCCTCCTGCGCCATCCGTGGAAAGTTTCTGACGGGCCTTTAAGCTTCGTGAAGTGTCAGGGCGACAATCATCACCAGCAACAGCACAATCATCATACTCATGGTGGCCATCATGGTGATGTTCATCGTCATGATAATTATTACCATCAACAACAAAATCATCACCTAGCCTTCAGAATGACAAGGATAATAGCAATAATAATACGAATAATACAATTCATCATGATGTTCTGCATCGGCATCATCATCAACCCTTGGGGCTGCGGCCCCGGGCCCCCCGGGCCGGGTGACGTACAGAAAGGTTTCTGGGGAAGCCTCTCAGAAGCCCGTTGGGGCCCTCTTGGGGGTCTCCTGGGGGCTTCCTGGGAACTTCGGGGGGCCTCTTGGAAGCCTCTTGGGGGGCCTCTGGAGGCCCTTGGGGGCCTGCCGCGGGCGTCTTGTAGACGTACGTGAAGGTTTCTGGGGAAGCCTCTCAGGAGCCCGTTGGGGCCCTCTTGGGGGTCTCCCGGGGGCTTCCTGGGAACCTCGGGGGGCCGCTTGGAAGCCTCTTGGGGGGCCTCTGGAGGCCCTTTGGGGTTTGCCGCGGGCGTCTTGGGGGCCTCTTCGGGCCTCTTGGGGGTCTCTGAGGGGCCTCCTGGGGCGGGGGCGCTGGAAGGTTTAGTTGGGTGTCCCGTTTTGGGCCCCTCTTGGGGCCCTACGGGGACACGTTTGGGCCGTCCTGGGCGCCTCTTGTACTGTCTTGGGCCCCTCTGGGGCCGTCTTGGGGCTCTCTTGTGGGCTTCGTGGGCCGTCTTGGGGCGGTCTAGGGAGAGTCCGAGGTAGTAGAGGACGGTACGAAGGCCAAACAATCGATTATAATAAAAATGTGCGTTGCGTTTTAACCTTTTCGGTTCCCCGACGCCCCTAAACGGCTCAAGAGGCCTCCAAGATCGCCCCAAGAGGGCCCAAGCGGCCCCCAAGAGGGCCCCAAGACGGCCCAAGACGGCTCCAAGACGGCCCCAGAGGCCTCCAGGACGGCCCAAGAGCCCCAAGAACGCCCCCAACACGGTCCAAGAGAGGTCCGAGACGCCCGAATATCGCTCCACGACGCCCAAGATGGCCTCCAGACGGCCCAAGACGTCTCCAAGATGACCCAAGAAGCCTCCAAGATCCCCAGGAGGTCCCCAAGTGCATTCCCAAGAGGGCCCCGAGAGGCACACAATGCTTTTCCATAGGTTTTGGACAAATTTGGGCGTTTCAACCTTTTCGGTTCCCCGACGCCCCTAAACGGCTCAAGAGGCCTCCAAGATCGCCCCAAGAGGGCCCAAGAGGCCCCCAAGAGGGCTCCAAGATGGCCCAAGACGGCTCCAAGACGGCCCAAGAGGCCTCCAAGACGGCCCAAGAGGGCCCCAAGAACGCTTCAAAAACGCCCCAAGAGGGGCTTCACGAAACAGAATTTCGAGGTCTCGGCCCTTAGAGGCCCCCGGGAGGCCCCAAGACGCCCCCAAAGGCCCCAAGAGGCCCCCAAGAGGCCCTCAAGAGGCCTCAAGAGGCCTCCAAAAGGCCCTCTCGAGGCCTCCGAAACACCCTCAGGAGGCCCCTAGGACGCCTCCAAGACTCCAGCCAGACGCGACTTGGGAAACGCGGGTCGGGGTGGTCCTCCTCCCCCGCGTTCGGCCTCCAGCCTCGAGCCTCGACCCTCCACGACGACGACGACGACGCCGGCGGGCGGCGGCGGCGGGCGGCGGCGGCGGCGGCGACGACGACGACGACAAAGGCCCTCCTCATCGCTCCTCATCCCCCTCCTCCTTCCTCCTCCTCCTCCTCCTCCTCCTCCTCCTCCTCGTCCTCCTCCTCCTCCTCCTCCTCCTCCTCCTCCTCCTCCTCCTCCTCCCGTTCAGAATGGACGGCATCCGACGGCAAAGGCGTCCCTCATCGCTTCTCATCGCCCTCCTCCCTCCTCCTCCTCCTCCTCCTCCTTCTCCTCCTCCTCCTCCCCTCCTCCTCCTCCTCCATTTCCTTGTCGTTTTCCTCCTCCTCCTCCTCCTCCTCCTCCTCCTCCTCCTCCTCCTCCTCCTCCTCCCCCAATGCAAAATGGACGGCATCCGACGGCAAAGGCGTCCCTCATCGCTTCTCATCGCCCTCCTCCTCCTCCTCCTCCTCCTCCTCCTCCCTCCTCCTCCATTTCCTTGTCGCTCCTCCTCTCCTCCTCCTCCTCCTCCTCCTCCTCCTCCTCCTCCTCCCCCAATGCAAAATGGACGGCATCCGACGGCAAAGGCGCCCCTCATCGCTTCTCATCGCCCTCCTCCCTCCCTCCTCCTCCTCCTCCTCCTCCTCCTCCTCCTCCATTTCCTTGTCGTTCTCCTCCTCCTCCTCCTCCCTCCTCCTCCTCTCCTCCTCCTCCTCCCGTCCTCCTCCCGTCCTCCTCCTCCTCCTCCTCCTCCTCCTCCTCCTCGCCCTGCTCCTCCTCCTCCTCCTCCTCCAAGATGGCCCAAGAGGACCCAAGGGTTCCCCTATCGCATAAGATGTCTCTTCCCCTGGCTCGAACGGCCCCACAGCGGGATACCACGGGTAACACGCCCCCGCGATGGCACCAAAGCCGTCAACAAACTGCAAACACCTAGAAGCCCCATGAAATAACAACAACAAATTTATCGACAACTACACAGCTCCCGACGCCGCAGCTCCACACTGCAAACGACCACTCGGACAGGCGACCACGGTGCGACATTATGGGCCGGCGGAATGAGCGAAGCGATTAAATAAAAATGTGCGTTTTACGAAGGGAACAAGGGTATTGTTGCTTCCCGGGGCCGTCTGGAGGGATCTCTTCGAGGGGTCTTCGAGCGTGTTGGAGGCGTCTGGGGCGGTTCGAGACGCCTCTTGAGCCGCAGGAGACCGCTGGAGGTTGTCTTCAGGGTGGCGCTGGGCGGCCTGGGGCCGCCTGGACGGCCGTCTGGGCGCTCCGGGGGCCGACCTGGGGCCCGGCGGGGAGCGGGCTGGGCCCGACGTCCCCCCATTTGTGGTCGGGGCTGCGGCCCCGGGGAGCGCCCGTTTTGTCGAATTTGGTGTCGATATTGAACAACGTTTGGTTTTATGTGTTTCGTGGCGTTCGATGTTGAAATCCTTGCGGGACCTCTGCTTGGCGAAAGAATTCGGCATGCGTGCGCGACGACGCGGGCGTGTAAATTTAGTCTTATCGTTTGCAAGAGGCTCTTGCGACAATGCACGCGTAATGGCGCTCGAATGATTCCGACATGAGCGCGCGAGAGGCACGTTTGGTAGACTTTGATGAACCTGTTGTGAATTCGCAAGCGCGCGAACGCATGTTTTGTCCGTTGTGAACTCATGTTGCGAATCCTTTGTTGTTTTACATGGTTCGGGACACTCGATTTTGTCATGATGGTTTTCGGCATGCGCGACGACGCGCGCGTATGCACATCGTCCCGTCTGTTGCCAGGGGTTCTTGGATACCAGAAGTTACTTACGCACGAGTGTGCGCGCAGAGTGCTTTTTAGCAAGGGACGAGGGGAGGTCAATAGGCGGATTGCATCGACAACTTATTTACGATGGACGAATGCGCAGAATCATAAACGAAAAACATGGCGAACAGGTACACCGATAAGTCCAGGGGGGGTGATCCTAATACTCCTCTTGCTGGGAAATCTAACGGCGGCGACGAGCGGCGACGGCGGCGACGAGGCGGCGACGGCAGCAACATAGCCGCCAGAACGGCAGGCAAACCGAGACAACGGGCGGCCACGAGGCGGCGAAGGGGCGGCGACGGGGCGGCGGCGCTGGCTACATATCCGCCTGAGCGGCAGACGAAAGGCGGCGAAGAGGCGGCGACGGGGCGGCGACAGCAGCTGCATATCCGCTAGTGCGGCAGACAGGCCAGGCGACGGGCGGCGACAAGGCCGCGACGGCGGCTACATAGCCGCCAGAGCGGTAGACAAACCCAATTCCCTAGAACAGAAATAAAATAGGAAACCCTAAGTGCAAGCACTGTTTGGCGAATGCGGGATCTCCAGAAACCCTGGTCTTTTCCTCAGGGGCCAGTGTTTCATCCTGAACTGTTTCTTGACGGTCCCGGGGATGGCGAACGGCCCCAGATGCAGAAGCATACGAGGAACCATTGTCTTGTTCCTCATTGTTGCTTTAGTCCACCAGAGGTTTGGGGAAGAGGCGATAAAAGCAAACATCAATAATCTTCTCAACTCATGGCCTCCACCGACCTGTCTAGCGGTAGCCACAGATTACTCCGCCGGTGTTTTTTCTTGGGGTGGGCCTCTCTTGCCTCGCCGCAAGCGGGGATGGACATAGTGGGCAAGGTTGCGAGGACGCAGCGCAGCTCGGTCTTATGCCTACTCTCTACTACCAGCTATCTGCTCAGTACCACCTCGACGCATCAGTGGGGCGAAGAGTACTGTCTGCTGACGACCAGCATGTTCACCTCAACACAAGAAGACCAACGCAGTGCAATGCATTACAATCCTGCGTCGGGCGCTGCATACGGCGCGGCTGCATACGGATTGTGTTTTTGTTTCCTTGGGGGGATTGGCAGCCCTAAAGAGTCTGCCGATATCACGTTCAGACCTAGATGCAGTAGATACACGGGCAAGCGCCAACACGAATCACAATGTTTGTACAGCGACGCTTGCCCAATATGCCATGCAGAACAAGCTTACTGCGAATGGGTCGGCCGCATGACCGCAGAAAGGGGACACCTGATACTGGATGGCAGCACAAGTACGTCTAGGGAAATATACCTACATACATACATACATACATACGTACGTACGTACGTACGTACATGCATACATACATACACACATGCATGCATGCATGCATGCATGCATGCATGCATGCATGCATACATACATACATTACATACCTACATACATACATACATACATGCATGCATGCATGCATACATACATAACTACATACATATCTAAATGTGCACCTGTATCTATACATGTAGATGTATATGTATATGTATATCTATATACTCATAGATGCAATCCTGTGTGCAAGGCCATGCACATTTGCATACGTTACAGGTGGAGAGCTCGAACGCCATCACCACTTGCTGCCATACTTGCACTCGTATTGCCACATGCACGTGCGCTCATGATTGCACATGCATTTGTATTTGCGTGCGGGAATGCGTACACATCTACGTGCGCGTTCAGCGACACCTACAGAGAAGTCAAGAGGGAAAGCATGCAGAACAGGAGAGTACGAACGACAAACACAAATGCGGGACCCTACTATTTGGACGCCCGAACTGGGTACGGAAAGAATCGGTACGATGCCCGACAACAAATGTTGTCCCAAACCAACAGCGGCCGCTGTTGGGCAACCGGCCAGCGCCGCCTAGAGGCGGCAAACATAGCCTGGGCGATCCCGAAGTGTGCGTACACCGCATTCAGCTTCGCAAGTGGGAATTGAGCGAATGGGCCAGCATGGAGCGCGCACAGAAGGAGAGCGCAAAGTAAGATGCAGGCGCAATCTATCAGAAGCACGGTCCTCGCCAACGACTCGCCCCATGCTGCAGGATCGATCCACACCGTCTTTCCGCTCGCGGAGTAAGTCACCTGCGCTCTCATCGAATCAATTCCACTCCCCCGCCGCATTCACCGCTTTGCACGGAGTGCCCCGAAGCGCTTGGCAGAACGTCGCGATGCGACGGCAGGAAGCCCTGCGGTGACAGACCAACGACTGCACTGCCGCACGCCTGTGGCACGTCCAGGACTCCCTGACGTCCGCGCGGCAGAGAAGCGAGGCAGCGCGCACGGGGGCAGCAGCGCAGGAGACTACCTCTCGGGCCACCCGAGAACCCTCCCTGGCTTGGGCATGCCCCGGCTGTGGCATGGGCTCCGAGGTTGCGAACCGAGATCCAAAGGTGGTGTTTCACCGCAGGCAGGCTGCTCATGTGAACTGGAGAAGCTACGACCTCTGGGCGGAGCTGCTGCTTTCGACAAAACCTACCCCGCTGACGTCACTTGGGCTTCAAACCATAGCGCAGCCCAAACGCTTCCGTAGAGAAATCCCCATCGTTTCGCGCCGCTGCCCCCGTCGTGACTCTCTCAATTCCCCTGCCTGCGCTGCGCCGTCATCCAGGCCCTGAATGACATGCCTTCGGCGCAGGAGCGCCTGCTGTCCAAGACTTGCCTCGTCGGTGCCGAACGCCGTATTCCCCCCGAGGTTCTTTCGTCACGCGGGGGCACGCGTGGCGGTGTGTACTCGAATGTCGACGGCGCGCGAGTCAACTGGCAATGCCAAACTGTCTGATCCTGGCATGTCGTGGAGATGAGGCAAGAACAAGATCAGCAAACTGGCTAGGCAACTCTGGACCAAAAGCCACCCGACCAGTTCTCAAGCGCAAGACTTCAAAACGCATTGAGTCAAATGATTCTGCGTGAACGCATGGTCATGCCGATAAACATCGGGATATCGGATCGAATCGGAATGTGCATCGCGCCGGGCCGCATCGGCACGGAATCGAACTCAAATCGGATCGGACGCTTCAAGATGCACAACAGCGCAGCGCAAGCATCGGGTCGCATCGGATCGCCCGAACATCGAACTCAAATCGGATCGGGCCAGCAATGATCGAATTCGGATCGGACAGATCGGATCGAAATGGACGGACCCTACATGGCCCCCAACCTGCCCGACTCCATCAAAACTGAGTCAGCGTCCGCGGCTATGCATTGCAGTTCACGAACTTTGCGACGAGATGGACCCGATCAGAACCGCCAGCAGATTTCGCACGACTGCGCAAAGAATGTGGAGATGCCGTGCCCCAGGTCGGCGGCGAGCGAGGGTGGGGGAAATGAGAGGTGGAAGTGAGATGTAGAAAGCCTTCGCAGAAGTCGGCGGGGCTTCTCAGAAGCCCCCGCGCCTCCTGAGAAGCCTTCTCCGCCTTCGGGGAAGACTTGGGACACCTCTCAGAAGGCCTGGGGTCTTCCTGAGCCTTATGGGATGGCCCGCCCCTTTCCACTTCCCCCCAGGCGCGCCACCTAGAGTTGCGCTTCATCATGGTCAAGTGATTCCACTGGTCTGGCTGCCCCCCTCCCCCTCCTCCTCCTCCTCCTCCTCCTCCTCCTCCTCCTCCTTCTCGTCCTCGTCCTCGTCCTCGTCCTCGTCCTCGTCCTCCTTCTCCTCCTCCTCCTCCTCCTCCTCCTCCAAAAGGGCGCTCCCCCTGCCCCCCGCTCGCCGCCGAATCAAGGACATCTCGCGTCACACCGTGAGGTACGCTACACATACGCACATCGAGTGGGCGTCGCTGGCCATATGGCGAGCCTCTGCCACGACGAGTTCGGCTCCTCGACATATAGATATCCAACGAACATCCCCTGGCCTCCCGAAACCGCTGTTGTTCGGGGGGGGAGGTGGGTGTCTTGCTGCTGTAGGCCTCGTACCCCTCTTCGCCGCCAGGCGATGCTCCGTCTTAGAAATTGGCTGGCGCCCCTCCCCCCTCGCCCCCTCCCTCCACCCATTCTCTCCGCACCCCCAACCCCACCCCTGCACCCCCTTCAACTTTATCCCATTCCCTCATCCTACCTTCTCATTCCTCCTTATACGTCCTCCTATTTCCTCCTACCTTCTGCCTCCTCCTGCCTCCTCTCGCTTCTGCCTCACTTTTGCCTTCTACCTTCTGCCTCACGCTACTTCCTCCTACATCCTTCTGCTCCCCCTACCTCATCCCATTTCTTCCTGCACCCCAGCTTGCCAGGGGCGCGCGCGGCGCACCAGTAACCCGCTCTGAACAACAGTGCGCCTGTTGCCTCCAACTGGCTCCTGGTGCCTCCTCCTGCCTCCCTCAAAACTGCTCCTGAGTCTTCCTGCCTGCTCGTCCTGCTCCCTGTGTGCGTCTTTCTCGTCCTCATGTTCTGCAAACTCGTTGTCGTCCTCCTTCCTTTTCTCCCCTACTCAATTTCAGCCTCCTCCTCCTCCTCCTCATCCTCCTCCTCTTCCGAAAAATCCGCGATGGCGGATGGGATTCATTGCTGAGCAGAGTGGTGCTGCACATCCCTGGTCTGGGCAACTCGCCTGGCGGCTGCGCCTGGATGGGCTGGAGGGGGTACGCGACGAGCTAACACTTTACACTTGTTGGTATCCCTGCTTCACGACATGGTTACCGAAGTCCCTCCTCCAGGCAGCTCTCATAGACATTATTTCTGGATGGGCTGGTGAAGGTATTTTTTGGCACGCGGGCGCGCGAAACAAATCGAACGCCGAACGCGCTAGGGCGGGCCACGCCGCAACGACGGGCAAACGCAACGAAAAAACTGGTGCGGATACTTTTGGTACGCAGGCGCACGATGCGAGTCGGACGCCGGGCAAGCAGGGGCAAGCTATGCCACCTGCGGAAAAAAAACAACAAGGCTGCGAACAACGCCAGGGCGGGGCGGAACTCAGCGCGGCCGACACGGCGCGAACGGACAGAGCAGCACCACGAGCACGAGGTAGGTGCCGAACAACAAGCCGAGCGAGCGAACCCGGAATCGACCGTGGATGGGCCCACACAGCTCCAGGATGCGATACGATGCGATGCGACTATGTGATGCGTTGCGACCACTGTTGCGGACAGCGTCCGGGCCTAGAGCAGACCAGGTGGGTGAGGCCATGGCCTCTAGGATCTGAGGTGTCTGGGTTCATGCAGTGTGAGACATGTAAAAAATTAGGAGGAGAGGGGGAGGAGGAGGAACATAAAGTCCTTGGTGTCGGTGTCGGCGCGGGTTGGGCGAAATTACGTCGTTGGTCTGAGTCCCGGGTGCTGGTCGACGTGAGGTCGGTGAAGTGGTGCTCGAGCGCTGTCCATGCTTCGGTGTCTTGGGCTGTTTGCGTCCATGTGATGTCGTTCGGTTGTCCTTTCGAATGGGTTTTTGTGGGCGGTCGGTGGAGGTCTGGTCTGCGTTGACGTAAGTGAGTGGTGATTTCGTCGTCCCAGCGCTTGTTTTGGCCACCGTGCTGCCTGCGTCCCCGCTGGCGCGGGTTGAGAACTGGGCGCCAGCGCAGCACTCGCCATGTCCACCTCGTCCAGTCGTGGTTTGCGACCCGTGAAGCCATGCGCCAGACTTTCCGTTTGTGCAGCGTCTCCCACTTGTTGATGCGGTGGAGATTCATGATGTGCTCTGCGCGTCGTGTCGCTCGCTGGACGTAGTCGACCCATGGTTCCATTTCGTCTGCGAAGGTGCTGCCTTCGCCGTCTTCGCTGCGCTTGTCAGGCGTGTCAAGTGCATCACGCTGTGACGGGTTGCTGTCTGCGTCGTCGCTAGTGCTGTTGGTGCGGTCTTCGTGGTTTTGTGCTTCGTTGTTCGCGCCGTCGAGATTAAGTCCCTGGCCGCTGTGAGGGCCGGCTTTTTTTGTTGTGCGTCTCCGTGGCATTCTGATGATCATGCGAAGCATGCGTCGTTGTGTCCGTCGTAGATGCTGCCGTAGAGGTTCCGTGAGGGTGCACGTGTCTGCTCCGTACAACGCTGTTGGTGCCACAGCGTTGTTGAAAAAGTCGGCGTCGGTGAGCCAGTGGGTAGTGTTTGCTGGTCAGCTCCTGCTTGCGAGGTTTGAGTGATGCCCATGCAGCTCGCGTGCGGTGTGGATTTCCGTCTCCATCGGTTCGTGGAAGCTGATAAATTGGCTGCCCTCGTATGGAACGATTTCTATGACCATGTCTTGGAAACGTGCTGTGCGTGAGCTCGCCCTTTCGGTCCTTCTCGTCTGGTTGCTCAGTATGTTGGTTCTGCTCGGGTGTAGTTCGAGCCCGTGTAGCCTCGTCGCGCGCGCAATGTCGTCAAGCATTGCTGTCAGGCGCGGGAGAGTCTGGCTGGTCAGGAGCACGTCGTCGGCGAAGCGTAGGTTGGTCAGCGTGGCGGTGCTCGCGAATCCCAATTCAACTCCCTTCCTTTTTTGTTGCCATTCGGAAACCAGCGGGATGTATTGTAGAAAAGCGTTGAAGAGTACGGAGCTGAGTGGGCCTCCCTGCTTCGTGCCCCGCAGGAGGCTAAAGGGTCTGCTGCTGACGTCTGTCCTCACCGTGGCTGTCTATCCCTCATAGAGCTGTTTGAGTAGTGCGACGTATCCAGATTGGACCCCTTGTGCCTTCAGTGCTGCTCGTATGCTCTCGCGCTCAACTGAACCGAACGTTTTTTTGAAGCCAAGTGCTGCGACCCAGAGGTTTTGGTCCCATTCGTTCGCGCGCTCGCGCAATAAATGGAAGGTGCAGAAGTGGTCAATGGTCGAATGGCCTGGTGTGAAGCCCGCCTGGTTGGCACTCTGGTGTGAGTCGCGCGTCGGTTGTGGCCTGTTGTACAGTAGTCGGCTGAAGAGCTTGTACAACAATGGTATCGTGCAAATGGGGCGGTAGTTTTGGTGGAAGCGCGAGGTTCCCACTTTTTGGTATGACTGTGATGACTGTGCTCTTCCAGCAGGCCGGCGGCGGGGCTTCGCGCTGCAGGATCGTGTTGTAGAGGTGGAAAAGTGCACCTCTGAGTTCCTCTGTGCCTTCTTTGAGCATCTCTGCGCGGAGGCCTTCCGTGTCTGGGGCTTTACCAAACGGGAAACCTTTGATCGCCTGGCTTAGCTCTTTCGG